GAGTTGAATAGAAGAACAAAAATAACTCCTGTTAGTTAGATTACCAAATAAAATAGGATGAAAACATTTATAGACATTGAGAAAAATAACATACATGAAATTTTCAAGACAACATAACAACTTGGGTCTCATCGTCCGTTGATTGTGTAAGCTATTGACACCTGCTATTCTATAACAACATTCCCATCTTTCAATAAATTATGACAGATAGACATTTTATTGGAGAAGATTTTCAATTACTCGTAGCAATATAGCTCTTATCATTCTTTACACAGCATAGAAAATAGTTCTTGTTTGCACCAAGCATTTTTGCTATGTTGTTTTCTTTTGAAATGCTCCCTTATTGAATGCAAACTTTCCTCATTCACCTTGATCGTTATTCAAAATGAACTCTTTCGCAGTCGTTGATGACTGTCAAGAAAAAATAGACATTTTAAATAAGGTTTAAGATATCTTTCGGTAACTTAAATGATTGCATGTCATGAAATGGATAAAATACAGTAGTATCAGTAATCCGAGCATTACCAAATATGCCCAATCGACAATGCTAAGAGCAAAACTATATTTAGTTAGATTGTTTGCTTGGATCAATTTCAATAATTTCCCTTACTTGTCCAGTGTAAAATCAATAGTTATCGTTCCTTGCTAATGGACTCTTTTTCCCCTCATCTATTTATTTTCTATACAAATAACCGTATAATATCTTAATTGAGATTCAAAAATTTCAATATTTTCAGTTTTGTATTTCAAAGGATTATTGCAATTGTCATTTCCCCTACGTACACCTAAACTATCAATAAGTTTGGACCTGATTCGATTTCAAGCCACCTCAGTTGCTTACTTTGCCTATGATATTGATTTATTAAGCTAAGGCTTAAAGTTGATTCGATTTTATGCCACTATAGGTAGATATTATTCATGATATTCCTTTCTTAATGGGTTGACTATCAAGCCAATTAAAATTCTACTTTATCCATGATATTTCTTTCTTAAATTCGTTGACTAAAGGAATGCAGGCCAATCAAAAATTCTACTCTATCCTCGAAATTCCTTTCTGAAATGGATTGAGTAGCAGAATGCTAGCTAATAAAACTTTTACTCTACCCATGATATTCCTTTCTAAATGGACTGACTGGCAGGATATTAGCTTATAAAAATTCTACTTGATCAATGATATTCCTTACTTAATCATATGAGTTGACTAGCATAAAATTCTACTTTCCCTACAATATTCCCTTTTGATTAATTGGATTGACTAGCACGATGCAATCAAAAATTTTACTTTGTCCATGATATTCCTTTCTTTAGCGGATTAACTACTTAGTATGATGCAAGGTATAAAAATTCTATTTTATCCATGATATTGCGTTCTTTAATTAATTGACTAGCGAGCCAATAAAAATTCCATCTCCGACATTTAAGGCTGTTATTGTAAGGTAACGGTGAACATTCTATTTTTTCCTTATTACCGCCAGGATTAGCGAGTGATATTAAGTTATCCTTGAGCCATCAATTAAATTTGTTATTTCATTAATTTCTTATCGTTCTAAACAAGACAAAAGATAAAATGGAACCACTCGTTATTGCTGTTGGCTATCCTATTGATGTCAAAATAGAGTTAATGAATCGATTAGAGACATCAATCATATTCCACTTACTTAATTAAGGCAATTACCATTGCAATATACACTTTTCTATCTTTAAAATACGAAACAACGCGATAATTTGCAAAGTGATTTCTCTTCCTGATCAAATTATTGATCCATTCACGACTAGCGCTATAGAATAAACCTTTTTTCGTGGATTTCTATCGGTAGAGTAGAGCTTAAAATTGTGGATTCTATCCGCCTCGATACCTTCTATTCTATGCTCTGTCATTGTTTTATTTTAAATGTTGCTATTCAAATCCTATTTTGCAAACTAACTTCCTTGCAATTATCTCCGACACTCTATAGTATTTCTTATTACGGATTAATCAAGAAAATAAAAAAGAATGTCGTAATCTTCTACTTATTACGCTTAGTATTCTTTTCCACTTTTATTGACATCTTCCCCTTAGATTGATATCAGTTAAGATTTATATTTCAATGCAAAGGAATGATCAACATAGAAAGTGAATTTATTGAGTAATGAATAAGTAGCATCTACTGTTGATTTTTCTCTCCATGGATTTTCTTGCCATTCGCTAGAGTTATTCTAGAGTGGCTATCCAAGCTATACCTTGGACAATCTATCTAATATCATTGGATAGGATAGTTATTGCTGTGATCCATATCCTTTCAGATTTGTTTCTACCCTTTTCCTTACCTTGACCAATAACGATAGGTTGAAAGATGCTTGCTGCAATCTTTCTCATCATGACGATGGCACCCTCTACCCCATCTCGTAGACTGATTTATTCCATTCCCTTACATCATTTCTGATTAATTTCTGTTTGTAGAATAAAAATAACCAAGCGTCATTTTTTACTATTTTTTCAATAGCGAAATCGATTTAATTATCATCAAGTTACTATTGGATAAAATGATATTTTTTTCACTTGACTGGTTTCGTTTTATTGTCTTCCGTTGATCAAGAGAGTCGATTGACTATGATCAATTTGCATCAAATATGGAACAATAAGTAGCTTTCTTCTTTCTCGATTAAAACCGCATCAAGTAGAGCAAGCATCATTGATTGTTTGTTTGCTTAGATTGTATACTTATTCACATAGTTTACAGGCTTTGAAGGGAGCTTATTTAGATTAATTATTAACTAATTTTTAACATCGTATCCACTTGAAATTTTTTTTAAGCACGATCGTAAAATCTCAATAGTCCATTCATGCGAATACTTTCGATCTACCTTGGCTTTCTTCTTGTTTTTCTCCTCTCCTTTACCATTGCCTAGTATTCCTTTTATCCCATGTCCAGATAAGCGTCTTCAAAAACTATTGATCAGACTGTCGCAAGCTAAATAATTTGATCAACAACAACAACAGTGTGAGCAAATTTTATTTGATTTCATCATCCAAATATATATCTAGTGTAGAGCTGTGTAAATATTGACGCATTCCTCTTCGACATTGCTTTTATTGGATCTATATCACGCGTAAGAAAGCCTTAACTAAATGTAAGAAGTATCAATATGAATATCATGATCGATCAAGCATTTACAATCAGCTTGATTAACACTATTTTTTTTTTCTCATGCTAACTCTAAGTAAAGACAATAAACTTATTTAGGGAAAATTGAATTCGGAAATTGAAATTTTTTTGAAACGTTTATTGTAATGTTTAGGTTATCTTGACGAATTAAATAACCAATTCAACAACTTTCTTTGTCATCCGTTTGATATTACGGAAGTAAGTAAAAGATTTTCCTGTCATTTATTCCTTTGATATCAGTATTCAGTTGCCATAGAAAGAAGATTTTATAGCCTTAGACTGTACCAAAAGCGATAACTTCCTTTGCACTTCTCTTTCATACTGGGAAAAAAATTTTTTTATAGTTGAATTATTGTACTAATTTTGAACTTATCCCTCCAATCAATTTATTAGAGTATTCAAGTGCAAGGTTGCCAAAAAAAACGAAGTACGTAGACCATCACTTGTCAGTTGACATTAAAAAGAAGAGAAAGAAAATATTTGCAATTCCTAGCCATAGGTATGTATTGATTAGCGATGTCAAAATTATGGTGTTAGTTTTACAATATATCCTTCTATCACGGTCATTCAGTTCCATTCCATCTTGGCGAAGATAAATTATCATCGCAGGTGGCTTCTATCTGTAGTCTGACCACCCTGAGTTTTTTCGACGAGCTTTGTTTTATCGATACGATTTTATTGATGATATTTTGATGATTGGACCAATCCCAAATTAACTCATGTTGTTATTTTTTTGACAGTGTTTAGTTTATGAGTGGTAATATTGCCTAACGTGATTATTATATGGATCACCTCATCGGAGTACTGCTGAGTTTATTGACGTTTTAAGCCAATCTTAGCCCTTGACTGTTTGGATTTCGGTCCCTTTAAGCTCCATTCGCTATCGCCATACATTCTTACACTTTGATCATTTACTTGGATTATTCAATTGCTATCCAAATTATCAACGCAATAAGCACGTGCATCAACAAAACTAATTCAAATAAGGCAATCCGCTAATATAAATAATAATTTGCAAAGAAAGCTCGACATTTTCCTTTATAGTCTATGTACCTTTTTTGAAAGTGATCAAAACAGTTTTAATTTTTTATTATCAAGAAAGAGTCAAATTTGCATCGCTTTCAATATCTACAACTATTTAAGCTAAGAAATCTGAAAAAAGGTTTGGATTCCCTTCGGACTAACGAATTAAAAGTCCAATATTTGAAATCAAGAATAATCTCTTAATTCGTCAATCGAGCGATAGAAAGCCGCCAAATTCAACCTCGATAATAGTACACTACTTTGATCCAAATTGTAACTCAAATCAACCACCATTTTCATATTATTTTTAACAACATTTATTCTCCTCTTTCCAACAACTTACTCCAAATCGATATGGCAAATCATACATCCATCAAACGTAAACGTGATGATCATCATCAGGATGAATTGATAGATAAAAGCAAGGATAATAGCAATAATAACAATCATCATGATGTGAAAAATTTACATGATGGTTCAAGAGATTGTAACAAGGAAAATAATCATTTGAAGTTAGTAGTCAATGGTCATACAAGAAAGAGTTTAAAATCCAGTCATAAATATGCTAGTCGAGGCGAACAAGAAGAGGATTATCATGATACTCATGAAGGTAATGATCATGACATGGAAGAAAACAACATCAGCATTGATATGAATCCTTATCATCATCATCAACATTCTATTAAAAAGGAAAAGGCGATCAATAACGATAAATTAAATGCTAATGTCGACCATAAAGGGTTACCAACATCGTATGCTGATGGCAATAATGATGAAGAAGATGACGAAGATGATCGTTGTCATCATGATCTTGACCATAAAGACGACGATATGGATGATTTATCTCAATGCCAAGATTTAGATGATCAAACTCAAGGTGGACATAAAAAGCTACAAAAGCATAACTTAGTTAAGCCACCCTATTCTTACATTGCATTAATTACTATGGCAATCCTTCAATCACCCCAAAAACGCTTAACCTTAAGTGGTATATGTGAATTTATTATGAGCCGTTTTCCCTTTTACCGCGAAAAATTTCCCATATGGCAAAATTCCATACGACATAATCTATCGTTAAATGATTGTTTCGTCAAGATACCGCGCGAACCTGGCAATCCAGGCAAAGGAAATTATTGGACTCTCGATCCTGCCAGTGAAGACATGTTCGAGAATGGCAGTTTTCTACGACGTCGTAAACGATTTAAACGACAGGCATCGTCCAACGAATTAGCCGCCTATAATATTGCTGCACCTCCCTATCATCCACATCATCCACATCATCCACATCATCCTCATCCACCTAATCCATCCACTTTAAGCGCTTTTAATCCAATTGCCACACCACCTTATTTACCTAGAGCAGCCACGGCAGCTATGGTAGGCGCAGCTCATGCATCTTTAACACCTATTGCAACATCCGCAATGGCAGCCCAAGTAGCGCCGCCATCAGCAGCAACTATAGTTCAAGCAACACCAATGCTCAATCCATCCATGTTAGCAGCAGCACCAATGTCATCTAAAGCGAAAGAATTACTCAATTCAGCTTATGCTCAGGGTCAACAAGGCAATCTTGATGCTACCAAACAACAAGGATCATCATCGCCCTCATCCAAAGATTTCTCCATTGAAAATTTAATTAGTACTGACAAGAAAAATCAATTTCAAGACGATATTAAAGCATCATCAGTCCCTTATAGCATGAAAACATCATCGACCATGACACCGGTATTTCAGGCTATGTATGGCCAGCAACAAGCTCTTCCAACTTCAGCATTCCATAATCAATCTTTAATCCGATCTGTTGTTCCTCCCACACCATACTTAACTTCAGCAGTCATGCATATAGATCCCAGTAAGCAATTTGCCGCATCACCTTACATGCCTTGTCCACCTTACCATTTAGCCATGGCTAATGGATGGCGTTAATTAAAAAAATATCACATCGTGCAAGTAGCGATTGGCTAATCTAATATTCTGTTGCAGTGCTTTAACCGTACAAGGTGATAAAATGGTCCTTACATTTTTTCTGTTTTTTTTAACCTAGTAATTATTATTTACGGATGATATTTCTCTCCCATGTGAAAGTAGAGATAAAGGAGAATGAGTATTTTGAAATTGACGAAATGTTCGTTGAATAGTATTCTGAAATTTTTCCTATAGTGTAGTCTGTCCCCACTATTCTCTCAGTCTTTTTCCTTTTTGAAGCATAAGTATAACTGTAATGATCGATAATAATATTGATCAGAGTTTATAATTTGTATGCGAATATTATCTATCCTATAATGCAATTATCTGTTTATCCTTATATCATATCTATCGCAATATTTAAGTGCAGATATATCTATTATATATATATATATATATTAAAATATAAAAATATGCATATATGCGTACGTTACAAGATCACTCAGTCCGTAATATATATGCACATATAGGTATCAGTTTTATGTGCTTGTAGTCTTGGATTCAAAAAAGTTCAATACAATATTAAAAGTGGATTGATATAGTCCAGTTTTCATTTTTTTTTTATAGATAGAATACAACAGAAATTAGATAGTAGACAAGAGCTAAGTTATATGTCTAATGATCACGATGATTGGATTTAGATTCAATTTAAAATGATGTATTTTCTCCCTATGTGTTGAAATGAATATCCTGACGGCATCAGTTATTTGTATATATATATATATCTAGTTCATTATCTCTGTAAAAAGTCAATAGAAAATCTAGTTAGGGATAGATATCTATGTGGATGTATCAGTGGGTGTTGTACATGCGTCTTGATTATATGGAATTGATAGAGATTTATAGATCAACTAGTTGGAAAAATAATTTTTTAAAGATAATATCTTTCATCAACATGAATTTGCCTGAAAAAATGTAATTCTGCCAATATTATCAAGTATTACAACGTAACATAAAAGTTGTTCATATATTCATGTTAGCAGTAAAAATCATGTTGGCTATGATTAACCTAGCTAATGTATTATTACTACCATTCTTATTACCATAATGATCATTATCATCGCTCCTATTATATTATATTATATTATTATTATTATTATTATTATTCTTATTGTTACTGCTACAACTATAATAACCAATATTATTATCACTCTTCCTCCTATTAAAGTAAGTTAAAGTTATTATTATTATTGTTATTATTATTATTATTATTAACATTATTATTATTATTGTTACTATTATTCTTATTAATATTATTATTATTATTATTATTACTAATTACTATTATAATTATTATTCTTGTTCCTACTATTCTTATCTTCATGATTATTATCATCATCATTATCACCAAAGTTCTTATTATCATCTTCATTATTATCATCGTCATTATTTATACTGTATTAGTATCATCAGCATCATCAATATTCTCATTATTCAGCTAGCCGATTACATAATCGGACTTTTTTCAAATATTGAACCTCCATATCTATGCTGCTCTATACTTTAATATCCATCTACTGTACTTACTTAGCAATCCTATATTGGTCAAATTTTTTACATGCAGTACTGTTCATTTCAGTGTATTTTCTTTCATGTTATGATGATATTATCTTTCAGGTTAATATTTTATTACAATCTGTACGCTTTTCTTTTCCTCTTTATTATCAATAAAATACTAATTCTGTCGTAAACTGTTGATAACGATTCAAAACATTTTTATAAATTATTAATGTCATTACCAGTGGAGAAGCTATTTCAACATTCATTGAAAGTTTATTGCGATTTCACACAAACCTTACTAAATTGGCTACAGTAATAACACGATACTCCTGACTAGGAGTTAGAATAGGCAAGAAAAATGTCATAACCGTTATTACAATGGCTTTCTTAGTTTGATTATAACTTCTGAATAAAGAAGCTATGAAATGAAATACTTCTATACCATAACAGAGGATTTCATCCTTACTGTATGTACTTATTCACCGCACAATACATGTGAGATTATTGAATATAGATAATCAATTATTTCTTGACTTCTACATCTTATTTCAATATTGCAGCTTATTGAATTTTACTTGGTTGGCAGCTAACAAGAAAATGTTATTACACAGATACAATATATTATTTAGAATATCAGCCACCATGAGTCAATTTTTTTAATTCAAAAAATGGAATAAATTCATCATCAATACCATATGACTCGAGCTGAAGTTTATGTGGGCTAGTACAAAATAAATTATCCACTAAGTAAGTAGTATTAGGGTATGTTAAATTACAATTGCTGCAATACTAGCGATTTCCTATTTAATCTTAGTTATATTTATCACCACATTTTCGAAAATTTAGCGATGATGCTAAATCATATTCGTAACACAAAGACGTTTACCAATTTCCAATATGGCTGTATAGGTAATCCTTTCAATACAGAAAAATTGATTTCATCTTAATAACTGATTTAAATTATTAGTAACGTAATGTTGACTGTATTGCATTTTCGAAATTCAAATTATATGCTTAGACGACAATTTACGAGATCATAACTAATTATTCACATGTCCATATCATAAATATATGTTCAAATACTATTTGCCGGTTTATTCTATATAAAACTATTCACTCATATACTGTAATAGAAGTACAGTAATACAAACTAGTATTCCCGAAACAACTATACTTTATTATCAGCATGTAAGGAAAGATTATCATCAAGCAAAGATGTTATTTTATTTTAAGTATCAGTTTATTAGCGTTAATATTTTACGATTTTATCGCGTCCGTTATTTATATTAATTAATAGATTGAATTAAATATTTTCAATTCCGGTCGATATTTAAGGTATCGTATGTAAGGGAAGTATCATTCTATTAATAGCACACTTTCAGGAAATCTATTCCGTTAAAATTGAATTATTTTTTCCATTACTGAACTATAACAATTCTATCTCATTATCCAAACAAAACTTTCAATCATTTTCAACTTTCTTTTCAGAAAGCCCGAGAATTATGATAACTTTTATGTTACTTTCCGGGCTTGGAATTATTTAATATTAAATAACCCAATCATGTATTCTTTAGTAAATATTCGAGGTGGTAACTAATTTAATGAACTTTTAGTAGATTCATCAATTTTGTAAATTATGGCATTGGTTCTATTTAAGATGACATTAATAAATTATAATGCCTTCTAGTTGTGCAAAATAAACGGATATCCGATAGAGATTAATTATACAAACATTTTATTGTAGCAAATAACCATGCGTAAAGTAAAACTCTGCTATCTAAACTGACCATTGTAAAATTAAGCGAAAACAGTCGAATGAGGTCAATCTAGTTCTTAGTTTATGTTGTTAAGTAGTACAATCTTAGTTTGTTCATTTTAATACAAAATTAGCAAAGTCTTAATCCTGGGTGGAAGAGTAGAAACTTTTCAACTGTTTTTTATATTTCTAAATATGCATATTTCAAATAGCGTATTTTTTCACTGCAAGAGTAGGATCTTGATGCTTTATCATTTATTAATTAGGTGGTTCGTGGTAAGGCTATACAAGCAAATAAGAAAGCTAGCAGGGTTTTAAATATATTTATTCTATAGAATAAAGACCTTTTGTACCTTATTAATAGCGCTTTCAATGGGATGTTATCAGTATGATATTATTCGTGCTGATATTAGCCTCTCAGTCAACTTCGTTTCATATCAGTCTACATCCTCTTATCTTGTGTAGGTTCATATGATCAGAAATGAACACTAGTGGGAATACACGCTTCAGTGGTTTTAATTTGGAAATAAATCTCTACGTATACTTAAATCTTTAGTGTGCTGTATCATAGTCTTTAGAGAGAAATTGATCAGATGTATTCGTAGAGCATTAAAAGAAGATCCAATTTTTAAACCACTTTGGGATAAAATTTGTTTGATTAACATAGCCATGAATTACTAAAGGAAGACCTAGACCTTCTTCAAATAGTTCATGCTGTAGCTGGGTACTACAAATAGCTACGATATCATATTAGCATAATAGTGAATAACAATGAGTCATGATTTCCCTGTGATTATTTTTTTATCTTTTAGTTCGTAAAATTTAATAGATTATTTACTGCGATATTTCGACAGGAAATAGTTACCAGTGAATTATTGGCAAATACAGAAATATTTAGAGAATGTTATTTTGGGTGCCACTACGCCAATCATCTTAACAAAGAAAGCAATAACGTTATGCATAATCGTAATTATAGTGAACGAGTTCTCTA